ATTCTATTCTATTCTATTCTATTCTATTCTATTCTAACTCTATTCTATTCTATTCTATTCTAACTCTGTTCTGTTCTATTCTATTCTAACTCTATTCTATTCTATTCTATTCTAACTCTATTCTATTCTAACTCTATTCTATTCTATTCTATTCTATTCTAACTCTATTCTAACGCTATTCTATTCTATTTGCACCAAGACAAATTCCTTGTGTGTCCAATCACACTTGGCCAATAAAGAATTCTATTCTATTCTATTCTATTCTATTCTATTCTATTCTATTCTATTCTATTCTATTCTATTCTATTCTATTCTATTCTATTCTATTCTATTCTAACGCTATTCTATTCTATTTGGACCAAGACAAATTCCTTGTGTGTCCAATCACACTTGCCCAATAAAGAATTCAATTCAATTCTATTCCATTCTTTATTCTACTCTATTCTTGAGTCTATTCTATTTTATTCTCTATTGTATTCTATTATTCATTCTGTTCTGTTCTATGCTGTATTCCTATTCTATTCAACTTTTCCTCTTACTTCCAATTCTGAAGGCTCGTGAGGAGCGGAACTGCTCAAAAAATAGTCGGGGTCCGGAGTTAAAAACTCTTCTGACACGTTAAGGGACGAAGACGGCGAGTGGATCACCTCTTCCAGCGGCTCCTGCGAGAGAGACAGAAATTAAAATGGTATTTTTTAATCAAGAACATGAGAGCAAGCAGGAAAACATTTATTTTTGTTACTTGCCCCATATCTGTTTAGTGAGTACTCCGCCTTTCCTTTGAGACTGCAAGGCAGTCCTACACTTACCACCAGATCAGGAGTTTGGTTGCTAAGCGAGACGGTCGTTAAGTGGGTCACGACCAAAGTTACAACTTTTTTGTTAAGCAAATCGCCGCCGTTAAATGAATCATGCGGTACCTGGTTAAGAAAATCCATCTTCCCACCCACCGTACCAATTGAACTTGCTTGTCAGAAGCCTAAAACTTCCATTGTTAAGGGAGGCGGTCGTTGAGTGAGTTACACCTTGTTTTTACGACCATTTTGGGGGGAAATGGTCATTAAGGGAATTAACTGCAGCTGCTAAACGAAATGTGTGGCTGTTAAGTGAAACCCTCCCCTCTTGCCTTTGCTTGTCTAAAACCAACTGTGATGATCACAAGTGGTGATCCCATGGCCCAGGCACGCTGCAACCGTCATAAGTACATGCCAGTTGCCAAGCCTCCAAATTCTGATCTTGTGACTGGGGATGCTGCAAACATTGTAAGCGTGAGGACTGGCCACAAGTCCCTTTTTTTCAGTGCTGTTCTAACTATGAAGGGTTGGCTCAGCGAATCGTTGTTAAGTCGAGGACTGCTGTGGAGGTAGCTCTCTGCTGATTTCTCATAGCAGAGATGTCACTGCAATATCCAGGAACTACCAGCTCAAGCAAACAATCTGTAAACTATGTCAAACAAACGGCATTCTTAGAATACACCCAATAATACTGAAAGGGCAAGCCCATTTGTATATGAATTGAGAGTATGCCCTACTGATGATGTTACCTAGTTGGGTGATGAAACGTCTGCAAGAAAACAAGCTCAGAGAGCACCAAGGATCCCACAGTCCTTGCCTGTCTTCCTTCTTTCCTTTCCTTTCCTTTCCGGCCTTCCTTCTTTCCTTCCTTCCTGTCCTTCCTTCCTTCCCTTCCTTCCTACCCGTCCTTCCTTCCTTCCTTCTTTCCTTCCTTTCCTTCCTTCCTTCTTTCCTTCCTTTCCATCCTTCCTTCCTTCCTTTCCTTCTTTCCTTCCTTCCTTCCTTTCCGTCCTTCTGTCCTTCCTTCCTTCCTTCCTTTCCTTCCTTCCTTTCCTCCCTCCATCCTCTTTGTAAACCTCACTCTCTTCTAGCACTGATGATGTTGCCTAGTTGGGTGAATAAATATCTCCCAGAAAGCAACCAAGGACATCCATCTATCTAATCTCTCTCTCTCTCTCTTTCTTTCTCTCTCTCTCTCTCTCTCTCTGTCTGTCTCGCTCACTGTGATTCTTTCTCTCTGTCTTTCTGTGTCTTCTATGTCTCTCTCTCTCTCTCTCTCTGTGTCTGTGTGTCTTTCTGTTTCTCTCTGTCTTCTGTGTCTGTGCCTTTCTCTTTTTCTCTCTCTCTCTCTGTGTCTCATGATAGCGGGCTTCCAATATTTGAGGGGCTGCCACAGGGAGGAAGGGGTCAAGCTATTTTCTAAAGTGCCTGTACACCAGACGAGAAATAATGGATGGAAACTGAACAAGGAAAGATTTAATTTGGAAATAAGGAGAAACTTTCTGACAGTGAGAACAATCAACCGATGGAACAGAAGTTGCCTTCAGAAGTTGTGGGAGCGCCATCACTTGAGACCTTCAAGAAGAGACTGGACTGCCATTTGTCAGAAATGGTGTAGGGTCTCCCGCTTGGGCAGAGGGGTTGGACTAGATGACCTACAAGGTCCAACTCTGATTATCTGTTATCTTTCTGTATCTCTTTCTCTCTGTCTTTCTGTGTCTTCTCTGTCTCTGTGTCTCTGTGTCTGTATCGATCTATCATCTATCCACCCATCCATCCATCTCTGTAAACCACAGCTTGATCAAGAAACCACCAAGAAAACTCCCACCCACACTGACAGGGCAAGTGTGGTAAATAAAACAGCCCAAACCCTACTCCCTTCTGCTGATCATGTTACCTAGCTGGGTCACGAAACGTCTGCAAGCAAAGCACCCAGCTCAAAGAGCACTGAAGGATTCTATACGCTCGCTAACCTTTATTAGAGAGGTCTTCCCCCCTCTCGAAGCAGGATTCGTGACCACCTTTTGCGATCTTTTTAAAAAATATTATCTCTGGAATGGTTTAACGTCATGGGGGTTCTGGTCTTTATTTTGGCTCAATGATCTGGATCGGGATTGGACCAAGAATGATTGTTTAATTATTCAGCGGATGAAGGAGCCCCCCAAAATACGTACCCGTCGAGAATATTCTGAAGGGGCAGAAAGGCCCGTGGGCTTGCGTGGAGCTGCGCCACTCTTGCAGGCTGGAGCCGGACCGCTTTTGCCTAAGAATAAATTAAGACGAGATGAAATGCAACATCCCCACCCAGGGAAACGAGGGAGGGTGGGATTCGGAATTAGCATGCAGAGGAAAAACTCGGTTTCTTGGACGAAGGACAGGCAGGCTGGAGAAAGAAATAATTCAGAAAAAGGCCAACAGAGGCTGATTTGACGGGGGAGGATAATAGCCATGAAACAGCTAATCCCCAGAGCCAAAAAATAAAATAAAATAAAATAAAATAAACTATCCTTTAGAGAAGAAGGAAAAAGCACCCCGCCAATTAAACGCATTTAAAAAGAAAACGGTACTCGGAAAAATCCATCCCTTTTTGGGGTTCTCCTGGGAGCCAGAGACCGGCAAATCTGCTCGCGACCGACAGCGTCAGAACCGTCAGGGAAACGGGAACGTACCCAGAACGTTAAAAATGGCTACAGACGGCCTCTCTCTGTTGCACACCAATTATGTCACAAATCGATTTGCGTTCCTGCTCCTTGGCCATTTTAATTTGGGGAAGGGGCTTCTACCCAGGCAAGGGGTTGGGAAATTCACAGCCACAATACCTGCAATGCGCTGCTTCTCGTTCCAATGGTACATTGTAGGGGTAGGGTTTAAAAACAAAAAAAGAATTAAGATGCAGGGGGTTATTCACTTAATTTTTTTTTTAACCCATCTTAATAGTTTTGACGAATAACGCAAGGCGGCGAACGGAACTAATCTTCTTTCCTTCCTCTTTTCCCCCACCACAACAACCCAGCGAGGTAGGCTGGGCTGAGAGACAGGCCCAAAGTCACCCAGCTGGCTTTCATGCCTAAGCTGGGACTAGAATTCACTCTCTCCTGATGAGTGGTTCAGTCACCTAGCTGCTTTTCATAACTAAGGTGGGACTAGAACTCACTGTCTCCTGGTGATCGGCCTAAAGTCACATTTAGTGGGCTCTCATGCCTAAGGTGAGACTAGAACTCACCCTGTCCTGGAGATTGGCTTAAAGCCATCTAGCTGGCTTTCCTGCCAAAGACAGGACTAGAATTCACCGCCTCCTGGTCATCGGCCTAAATTCACCCAGTAGCTTTAATGCCTCAGGTGGTACTAGAACTCACCATCTCCTGGTAATTGGCCCAAAGCACTCAACTGGCTTTCATGCCTAAGGCAGGACTAGAACTCACTGTCTCCTGGTGATTGGCCTAAAGTCACTCAACCGGCTTTCATGCCGAAGGCAGGACTAGAATTTACTGCCTCCTGGTGATTGGCCTAAAGTCACTCAACCGGCTTTCATGCCGAAGGCAGGACAAGAATTTACTGCCTCCTGGTGATTGGCCCAAAATCACCTAGCTGGCTTTCATGCCGAAGGCAGGACTAGAACTCACCATCTCCTGGTGACTGGCCTAAAGTCACTCAACTGGCTTTCATGCCTAAGGCAGGATTATAATTCACTGCCTCCTGGTGACTGCCCTAAAGTCACTCAACGGGCTTTAATGCCTAACGTGGGACTAGAACTCACCGTCTCCTGGTGATTGGCCTAAAGTCACTCAACTGGCTTTCATACCTAAG